AGTTCTTCAACTCCCTCCGAGCTGACCTCGAAATGCCACAACTCCCGATCATCCAGGTGGCCTTGGCCTCGGGGAATTTCAACCAGACTGCTCCAGCCGACCTTCAGACTGTTAGGTCGGCGCAGCTGGACCTTGGGATGGCTGGCGTTCGGTGTGTGGACGCAATGGGGTTCGCGCTGGAGTCCGACAACACACACCTGACCACGGCTGCGCAGGTCAAGCTTGGCCAGCTGTTGGCTGACGCCTTCCTCCAGCCCTAGTGATTGTTCCACTTCCGTCGGGATAACTGGATGTTTTGTTTTTCATGATATTAATTCTCAGTTTTCCGTGTACCTTCAGTTGGACGGAGTTATTACGTTTTTTTGAGTTCGCCGGACTTTTATTCCTTTTATCATATACACAAGCATAACTGACTTGTGAAAAAACAATCTAACAAATATAATTATTATTATTAAATAATAAGTGAAAATAAGTAGTATAAGATTTGATTCCAAGTAAAATGATTGACTTTCGCTCGCACGGTCCTACAATATCAAAAATTCCTAAAATTTGTAAGAAATGGGGAAACTGGCTAAGTAAACTGGTACGTCATCGCACGGTCCTACATAAAATTGATTCTGGTACCATGTAAGAAATATGGAGAAAAACGAGTGTGATTCCACAAAGATGAAACACACTAAGACAGAGAAAGTCAGATGAAGCCCAAGTGAGGTTCCATCCTAAAACCAACTGGTGAAAGGATGAAAACTCACTTAGGCTTCATCGGTTTTCCATGATACAAATTCACGTCTAGTAATTCTAATAATTAGTAAAAATTAACAATATAGTTATAAAGTAATTAATTTTCAAATGAACAGTTGTATAAATTTCATAAAATATAATGAATAATGTAACTTTACAAATTTAAAGGGTTGTGACCAATTAATAATTAGTTGATAAAAATTAAATCAATATTATTATTATTATTTTATTATTTATTATTATAAAAATTGTTCATACAATTTTAAAGTTTGCTACGACATTATAACCAATCATTTATCTTCAAATCATTTAATGAGATAAATCTGAAAATAATATATATTTTTCAATAAATGATTTTCATGTGCCTTTTAATGTGAATTTTAATTAGTTAATATTAGTAGTAATTATGATATAGGATATTATACACACAATGTTAAACCGGTAAATAGACCGGTTAAGGAAGTCGTATTATGAGGAAACCAAGGAAATTGAGCAGTCGACCAGTCGACCAAGCGAAGTTGTCGACCGAACTATCCTTCGATCGGATGAATGATCGAGCAGTCCAGTCGGTCTCGATAAGTCGACCACCTCGAAGACTTAGCACCACACGGATCGGCCTAGTCGCGGGCGCGTGAGAGAGTCTCCAACTGAATTCCAAGAGAATATTTACCCCATGTGC